TGTTACTGTTGTCATGCGGGTAGTCCGAACAGTTGGGCCATCTATGTAGAAAAGGAAATAAAGGTGAAACATCCATCGAAACGACATTGTTTGAAAGAAAATTACTTGTGGGTGAGGGATTGCGAGTACCGAGGATTGTTTAAATCATATATTATCGATTGAAAACGAACAATTACTGTTTATTGTGTCAGACAGATTTTGTGAACAAATCTTATCGTCAATTCAATCACTCATTCAAATATTTTCAATCTTTATATTTCGAACAAATCACTTGTCCACAAACTTGGATTTTATAAAAGTTCATTATAGAAAAATTCATTCTGTTTTCGATAATCAAGATAGTTTGATTCAATACATAGTCTACAACAAACAGCAATTATTTTCAAATTTTAATTCACCAAAAATTCATATATTTTCGTTACCAATTGATGATGAAAAATCAATTTTAAATTTAAATAACGAAAATAGTCTGTTCATATTTCAACAACTAATTGTTGAAGTATTAGTAACAAAATGTAATACACATACAAATGAATCAAAACAAGATTTATTAAATCATTGTCGGCTCTACTATAAACATGATTTATGTGAACTAAAAAAAATTGATGATTTTGAAGAAAATTATCGTTCAACAAAAGCGATTCGATGGTATACACGAGATAGTTTTTTATATCGTTTAATTAATAAATCATTACGTATGCAAAATATTGATAGAATATTTAAACTTCGATTTTTATTATTTTTTCTTATTGCAAATCGCGACGCGAGTCTCTTGAAAACTTCCCGGCACAATAACGCGTTCCCCGGGAAACTCGAAATAAGACGCGATTTTTACCGACCGTTATTTTTTCAAACTCATACAATGCTCAATACCTATCAACTGTTTTACTATAGTTATGGAAAATACTCTTACATACTAACTTAGTGTTACGTAAATAACTGAAAGAAACAGTGCGTACCTGTCTTAGTAGTCCCCCGCTTAGTTTCGCTGTTGTTTGCAAAAGACAGTCGTTTGCACAATTCCTACAATAACAAATACAAGATAGCATTAAGAAATGTAGAGAAAACATAAATAATATGACTGGCCACATAATCAGAGGTCACCCCACGGTTGAATAGTGTATGGTAATCCATGAAACCGCTGCTCTCCTTCTACTTCAGCACTTCGTAAATTGTTCTGTTCTTAGAAAAACGGATTTTTCGTTCACAAATATAATTAAAAATAGCGGGCGATCCTATCTTATCACGCTGAAGAATATAGTTTTTCTTGACTTTCCCTGCACGGTGGACACGATTGTAATGTGTAAATTAGCACTAAACTGTAATATAGAAGAATATCTGTT